AATAATAATAATAATAATAATAATAATAATAATAATATTAATAATAATAATAATAATAATAATAATAATAATAATAATAATAATAATAATAATAATAATAATAATAATAATAATAATGAAAACTTTATTAATAGAATATTTATAGATATATACAATTGTAAATCTCACTTCTTGAGGTAACCTACAATTGACTACTTGAATCACTTATACATGCATGGTTATAATTTTATATACAAAAATTGTTAATTATTTATAGAAATAGTTACTTTAAATGTTCATTAGTTCGGGATTTCTCCATTCTTTATTTCTACAGCAAAATATGTAGTACGTTGATCGGATGGCAATAGATATCATTTTTCTGATACAATATTGTTGGTGTTGATTATCCAGTCCTAACTCATTTAGCATTTTTACGAATGTATGGCATTCTTTGTCAAACACCCCTAGCGAACTGACTGATAATAATAATAATAATAATAATAATAATAATAATAATAATAATAATAATAATAATAATAATAATAATAATAATAATAATAATAATAATGGAAACTTTATTAAATGTTTTTCTTTACATACTTATACAATCGTAAATCTCTCTCATAAAGGTAACTTACGGTTGGCTATTTGAATCACAATTATACTAAACTAAAATAACAGAACAAAGTGCATGCAATATATATATATATACAATGAGATAAGTCAAATTGTTAGTAAATCCGGATTTTCCCATTCCTTATTTCGGCAACAGAAAATGTAATATGTAGTTCTAATAGCAATAGTCATCATTTTCCTAACGCAGTACATTTGGTGGCTTTTGTCAAGACCAATACTATCTAACATGTCTAAAAATGTATAACATTCTTCTGCAAAAATACCTAAAGAGCTGATGGAGAGATTTATAAATTTAACTTGGTTAAAATTTTTACCTAGCTGTCTCAATAATTCTCTATATTTATCCTTCTTCCGTATTACGTTGTTTTTGAGGTTTGTCTCATAACCAGTGGTGAGTTCAACCACATATAAGGAACCATTTGAGCATGATAATAACAAATCTGGGCGATACGTATCACCAGTAAGTATTGAAGGGCTTTTGAATCCATTTAGATCAGCGTAGAGAGTAGAACCGTCAACAATTTGTAACTGATGAGCAAGAAAGTTCAGGACTGAATTGTGTCTCCACGTAAATCGGTCGAGATAAAACTGACATCCAGCTACTATGTGTAGTAATGTTTCAGGGCTAAGACAAAAAGAACAGTCTGAATTTGAAGATATTGCCCATCTGTTTAGGTTTTTGCGCGTCGGAAGAGAGTTGTTAATGTAACGAATGGTAAAGTTGTAAATGTTTTTCTGGAGCTTTGATTGGGCGATGGACCACACTTTGTTAAGCTGAGGTAAGCGAACTCCGTGACGCTGCAGAAAAAGGATCCTTGACTGGTTAATTGGTTTAGGAGTTTGTTTTCGTGTCCAGAATGGAAATCTTTGAGAACTTCCTTAGTAGAGTTATAAGCGTCATATTGGATATTAGTATGGTTACTGGTTGCTCTCCACAGGTCGTTAGTTGATTCATTAGGAGAAGATTTTAAAGCTTTTCGGAGGACTGTTTGACACTGGATAAATTTTACAGATGGAGGATAAATACTCAGGCCAAATTTGTTATTTGTTAGAAAGACAGTACTTAGTGTTCCTGATATTGGTACATCAAGCCATCTGCGGATATATTTGTTGGCAATAGAGTCGATATTTTCAGTAACCCATGTTTTAGAGAGTGTTGCGACGGTGAAGTGCCAGGCTAACTTGGACAAGACGTAGCGACTGTAGAGGAGCAGTTTATTTTTGGGGTGTAGTGGCTTTGAGTCAATATCAGACATTAGTTCGTTAAGTAGGGTGGTTAGTTCAGTTTTGTGATTATTATTCGACATGTGGAAATCAAAGTAACGTCCTAAATATTGAAATGATTCTCCAATGGTGATTTTTGGTATTAGTTGATTGCTGATGAGGAGTTTTGGCAAGTACTGAACTGATTTTGTGATCGCTTTTTTAATGCCAAAGGTACTGCATTTGTCAACTCGGATAATCATATCGGACCACTGGCACCAGATAGAAAATCGATTTAATAGATGTTGGTTTTCGGATTCTTGGCCAGTAATTACAGCCGCGTCATCAGCAAACTGGAACCAATGGATGGGATTTAGTAATTTGAAGGAAAACCCAAATTGACGGTACTTTTCAGCCTTGATATGCTGAATGAATGTATTGAAGCACATGTTAAAAAGAAGAGGACTGAGGCAATCTCCTTGCAATACGCCACGGCCAACTGTCATAAAAGGAGTGCGGAATTCAGAGGTAATTATCGAGGTTTGGAAATCAGTATATAAACTTTTTATAACAAATTTTATATGATCAGGGATATGGTGGTAGTCAAGTACGGATTGAATGAGGTTGTGATGGATTTCGCCGAAGGCATTCTTAAGATCAAGTAGGGTGATGACAACAGAGCGTTGTCTGATCCGAGCTTTATTAATAATGTCAGCCATTTGTGCAGTATGTTCTAGAGTGCCAGATAGGTTGGGGGTGAAGCCTTTTTGTATGTTGTGTTCGACGAAGTTATTAGATGCGAGGAAGGAGTATACTGCGTTTCGGAGACAAGATGTAAATACTTTTAAAGGTATGGATTCGAGTGTTATGGGGCGGAAATTTGAAGGATCATTATTGTTGCCTTTCTTGTGGATTAGTAATAATAATAATAATAATAATAATAATAATAATAATAATAATAATAATAATAATAATAATAATAATAATAATAATAATAATAATAATAATAATAGACTTTTATTTTAACATGATATGTGTCTAAAGCATACAGCTTGTGGGGTCGTGTCTATACTAATGATTATTCTGCTATTACTAAGTTATATTACTATTACAATTACTATACGATTACAATTAAAATGAAAATTCCTTAAAAATTTTGGTGTTCATGCGGCTTATAGCATTCCACAATGTCGCACCTCTGTAGCCAATGGAGTTTTTCATCACTCGGGAGTCGGGTATTAAAAGACGGTACTGACTACTGAGAGTTGATGTCTTGCACGAAGTGAATAATTACATTCTCGCCTATTCAGACTGCTGCAGTGCTTAATGACAGCTATTATCTGAAGCAAGATAATGTTCGCTAGCAAATTCTGTAATTAATCGTTTTTACATTAAACACCGCTGGTGATTACCGGCGAAAATTCTGGACATATGGAGTGCAATTCGAATAATTGACTCATGCTGGTATAGTATTGCGAAATGGCTGTGTGGCGGGCTCCAAATGAGAGCTTATCTTTAGTCCTTTATGTTCGACCTTGTATTTGTAAATATGTATCAGTAGAGCAACCAACAACTTTGTAATACTTGTGGTAAGATTTTGCAAAAGAATACGAAAAGATAAATCAGAAATGTTACAATGATACAATAAATGAAAGAGGCTGACAGGTTACAGTACTTGACTTAGGTTTGTTTGCTTACTATATGATAAGTTATTTTAGTAGTTTGTATACGTTGACAGGGACCGGTTGAATAAAACTGCCCGTTTTGTAGTTAAATAACGGTTAACTCTAAAATACGCAATTCTGATCGGTCGACTTTTCCACTATTAACTATACCGTAGCTAGCCTGCGAACAGGCTCTTTGAATTGAATTAGAAAGTTCAAAGATAGCCTGTTCGCAGGCTATACCGTAGCCTTTAACCTTTTTATCTATATCTTTTCTAGCATTTGATTCAATTCAATTTTCTTAAAGCACAATCTTAGCCTGCAAACCTGAATCATGCCTGCGTGTAAGGTGGGCTGTTGTCCTGACGACATCTGCGACTGCTCAAATGATTGCGAATGTTTGTTGCCTAGCGACGCGGACATCGATGTTGGGTTGGAGAGTCCATTTCTAATTGCAGAACACGACTTGAAAGACATAGCTGAAGGCTCCCGGCACAAAATATGCCCGTGTAAAACGAAGGAGGAACTCGCAGATTATGTGAAGCCTATCGAGCCTCGTGTTCATATTAACGAAACGGAGAAATTGTCGGTCGGCATTAGTGGAGGGAATACAAATGAACTGAGCCCAATCGGAGAACAAGAGCCGTCAAAAAACTGTCATTCCGGGGCAGAAGACAATTGTTGTCAAACTGGTGTTTGTAAAAAGAATCATTCAAAAGGTGACCAAACTGGCACCCATGCCTCACACGGCCATAAAGACAAATGCTGTGATGACGTCAGCTGTACGAAAACCGCTGAAAAAGATCGCGGGGGCACGCATGGGAAAACTAACCCAAGTTGCTGCGCTGATGAGAGTTGTCAAAAGAAGTGTGGCAACCCCCCGGAGAATGAAAATGACCATCACCACGATGCTGCTAAAAGCTGTTGTAAGGACAACTCGTGCAGGGGGGTAAAAGCCTCTGGCGGAGAAATACGCGCACATGAGAAACAGCCCGGGGGAAGTTGTTGTAAGGACAAAGGTAGCGTGGCAGAGAAGTCAATTGGTGACAACCACAAACATTCAAAATCGACTGAGGGAAGTTGCTGTGAGACCTCTAGTGAAGACACCCACAAGCATTCACACGCCAAAGGTTCGTGTTGTGGGGAGAAGGGCGGTGGGGGCTGTAGTAAAAACACACACCAACATCCACCATGCTGTGATGACAAAAGTTGCAAGAAATCAAACAATGAGAAGAATTCGCAGAAATCAATGAAAGAAGATACATATGAGCACAAGGAACTACCACGAACTAACAGTCTGCCAACAACTCCTCCTAGCTCTCCCACCAAGATCGCCAAAGCACCAAATTTGGAATTAAAACCGAATTTCAATTTTGATACGCCTCCCGCGCCTTATCGTAAAACGAAACGCAGTCAGAGTCTGGCCGAAGCAAGGCTTGGAAGTCTGTTGAACGAGCGCAGACCTAGCTGTTTTCAGTTGTCTGGTCAGGAGCAGCGTCGTCGTGCATTGCCTGATCCTCATCGTGGTCATAACCACCATCATACACATGAGTACCATCATGCAAAAGGTGATCACCATCACCATCATGGGGACCATCACCATCATGGGGACCATCACCATGACAATCATGACGACAACCATCACCAAGGTAACGACTCCTGTTGTCAACCCAACGACTCCTGTTGTCAACCCAACGACTCCTGTTGTCAACCTAACGACTCCTGTTGTCAACCTAACGATTCCTGTTGTCAACCCAACGACTCCTGTTGTCAAGGCAACTCTCCAGATCGCAAAACGTGCTGCGAAGATACCATTTGTGAGGATAAGTCCCCCAGTTCCAATGAGGAACTTAAACCTCTGGTGAAACCTGACGAGGTGAACGTTGACGTCGATGAGATGGTGGTACGAACGACCAAACTTCGTGTTCAGAACATGTGCTGTCCTAAAGAAGCACAGATTGTCCATGAAGAGCTACGCAAACTCGAGGTTCGTATCATTATTATTGAACTTTAGTCCCGTGTCCAACACCGTAGAGATATAATAGTGAGCTTAAACAAGCGATGTTTTTGTCTATGTCACTAATGGACAACTTCCATGTTGGACTAAATTTTAATCTAAGTAAAGAGAAGGGAATCAAACACAACAGTTAAAAAGAACATAATGAAATTAGTAAAATTGCAAAATTTGGTTGCGATATGTTGTAAAATACAGAAAATATAGTCTTGCAAAGTTTGCAAATTTTCAGTATGTTTATATTACGTGTGGAAATTGTTACCATTTTCGGCTCAAAAATGGTAACAATTTCCGCACGTAATACAAATACCAAATTTTGCAATTTCACTGATTTTAATAAGTTCTTTACGGGAATTTACTTTTTTTGCCTAAATAAAAAATTAGTCTAACATGCAAGTTGTCTATTCTGGCGGCATTTTGCATCACAGCGCTCGTGTAAGGAAGCAAAAAACTTTAAAAATCTTATGTTTTGTCATATGTGTTGAAGATTACCACAAACTGACAAAAACACAGTTTTTAATCCAGTCCTCTCTCGGCAATCTGACGTCCTTGGTGACAAGAACGTTGCTTGCTTAAGTGCCCTACTATAACACTCTTTCACATGATGCTTGTGATGTTACTCTGAGTGTATATCCACACCGGGCAAGCTTGAAAAATATGCCTGGCCACGGTGGGAGTCGAACCTACGACCTTTGGAACACTAGCCCAATACTCTGCCAACTGAGCTACGCATCATATTCACCTGAGTACATAACACCAACACAGAAAAAAATCACTCTTTCACATGGTGAAAACCTTAAGCATATAAAAAAAGATATAAAAAATAAATGAATCCTGACTACTGTGTTTCCAACATTCACTCATTCTTTTCACAACAGGGGATTGAAAAAATCCGTGTGAATGTGATTGGTCGAGTTGTTCACGTGTCGCACTTTGCAGAACTGTCGTCACCCACGATGCTCATGAGCACCTTGAATAAACGTCATCTCGGAGTCTCCATTGTTGATACTGGCGCAGAAGAGGAGATTGAAAAAGGTATTTTTAAACATGCAACCGAAATTGACATCAATTAGCTATGTCTTAAATTGGTAAAACATAATATAAGTCTTAAATTGGTAAAACAAAAACAAGATGTCATTGACGGAGTGTTGCATTGTAATGTTAAGCAAATAACTCTCTTCTTGTTCAGGGTTGCCCAAAACACTCAAGATTCGTCTCGCAAACCTCGCTGTACAAGCCGTACTCATAGCCATCGCTTTGGGAGGCTCATTCTCCTCAAGTCCCTGGTATATGTGGGTCTCGATAGTCGAAATTTGCTTTGGAATAATACCCATCCTGAAGAAAGTATACGAGGCGGTACGGAATTTGGAGATCGATTTGAATATTCTCATAACAATCACCGTGATAGGAACGCTGGCCATTCAAGAGTGGATCGAAGGCGCGGCTGTGGTGTTCGTGTTTACCCTCGCGGGATTCCTGCAGAGATATTGTTTCTATCGTGTACAGAAGACGATCTCTAGCTTGATGTTATCGAAGCCGTCTAAGGCGGTCATGGCCTGTACCGGGGAATGTATCCCTATTGAAAATGTTCCGATAGGTAAGAATGTTGACCCAAACGCTTGTTGGTGGTCTTGAAATACATTTCCTTTGTGATAAACTCTAAACTATTGGTTTTCAGTGTAGGTACTGGTCTTGAAATTGATTGAATAATAGTTAAAGGGTCTTGAAATGCACGTCCTTTGTGATAGATTCTCACTAGTTTGGTCATACGACAAAATATAAATCGTTTGCAGTCATTCCCCAGGACCAACTCAACAAAAGCCATGGCAGCCATGTTGGTGTTCCAGACAAAAGAGTCTAATTAAAATTCTTTTGAATTGGAACACCAACATGGCGGCTGTGACGTCATGTGCAATCGCTCTATATACACCGTACGAAACGAATCTGCCCATTCTTTTTTCTAACAATCATTCTAATTGATTCTAATTCTTCCACTGTAGGATCCATTATCGCAGTGCGTCAGGGTGAACTCATCCCTCTGGATGGTATAGTGGTGAAAGGTGTAGCCTCGGTGGATGAAAGTTCAATATCAGGCGAAGCCACACCGGTCGAGAAAATCCTTGAATCTCCAGCGTATAGCGGAACTGTGATTCAAAATGGCTACCTGGAAATAGAAACAACATCGAGCTCCACTTCCTCGACAATTTCCAAGATATCCGCAATGGTTGAAGACGCGCAAATGAACGTCTCGCCGACAGAGATCATGGTTAACAAATTTGCAAAGTTTTATACACCGTTGGTGATCGGTGTGGCGGCGTTGGTGTTTTTGATTCCGTTATTCCTGGGTTTGGCCGGCGTGGAGGCCTACGACGGTCGTGCAAAAACCTGGGGCGAGCGAGCTTTGATTGTTCTGGTGACTGCGTGTCCATGTGCGCTCCTCATGGCCACCCCCACCGTCGTCATATGTGGTATCAACGGCGCAGCACGTCTTGGGGCGCTTATCAAGGGGGGGACGTACCTTGAAGCTTTGGGTCAGTTGAATATATTGGCGTTTGATAAAACTGGAACTCTTACCGAAGGAAAATTTCAAGTTGTTGATCTGGTATGTATGTGTGTATGTATAGATGGTTTTACTAAGCACTATCGTGCAACAGATGGTGGTCAACCTGCAATTATCAGAGTGAGAAAATTATGTTCATTGTTTTCATGATATGCAGTAGTCTTGTATTTGGAGGCAAATAAATAGAATTGAAAGATATAGTTTAATTTTCTTACTCCTATAAGTGTCGATTCTAAAGTTGATATAAAATAAAAAAGGATTTTGTTCAATAATTTTTGCTGCTGTAATTGTCAGTGGTTTTGAACTTGATCGCCATCTACTGTCGTGTAGTACTCGCTGACACCGACCATTTTAATAAACTCTTTCAGGTCCCAGCAGACAGTTATGACGAGAGCGATGTCTTGCGCTGGGCTGCAGCTTTGGAAAGTAAGTCAAGCCATCCTTTAGCGGCTGCGATTGTCAACGAATTCACTGGTGAATGTGTCTCCGATTTCGTTGCCGAATCCGACGTGCTTCCCGACGTGTCGGAGTTCTGTACGATGGAAGGACAAGGAATATCGGGCAAGATTGAGGGCCACGATGTACAACTTGGGAATAAGTCGTTACTTGAGAAGAACGGCGTTACTCTTTCTCCACATTTCGAGACTGCCTATATCTCATTCTGTACTGATGCTAAGACCGTCATCTTCGTCTGTGTTGATGGGGAATTCGCACTAATGATCTCATTGGCTGATATCATCCGCTGGGAGTCACGTGCCGCGCTCACGTGGCTACAGGACCTCGGGGTACATCTATGCATGTTGACTGGTGATGCAAAACAGACAGCGAATGCTGTACAGAAGGAGTTGAAATTGGACTCGTGTGTCTCGGACATGAAACCGGATGATAAATTGAACTGGATTGCTAATGTGAAAGAACAAGATGTAGGACAGAGAACATGTGCCCGCTTTAGAAAGGTAAGAAAAGGTTTGCTCTCCTATAAGCTTGAAGGGATGGCTTTACTGGACCTCTATAAGGAGAACAGTTTAAAGCTGATAGAGCTGTAAAGAATAAGGTTAGTTTAGTTTAGGTTTCCTCCTGTAGTAACACTGGATCAATAAGAGATGATCCTTACTGGACCTTTAGGAAGAACAGTTTAGAACTGATGGAGCTATCCAGTATAAATAAAGTTAGTTTAGTTTAGGTTTCCTCCTGTAGTAACACTGAATCAATAAAAGATGATCCTTACTGGACCTTTAGGAAGAACAGTTTAGAACTGATAGAGCTATCCAGTATAAATAAAGTTACTTTAGTTTAGGTTTCCTCCTGTAGTAACACTGGATCAATAAGAGATGATCCTTACTGGACCTCTAGGAAGAAAAGTTTAGAACTGATAGAGCTATCCAGTATAAATAAAGTTACTTTAGTTTAGGTTTCCTCCTGTAGTAACACTGAATCAATAAAAGATGATCCTTACTGGACCTCTAGGAAGAACAGTTTAGAACTGATACAGCTATCCAGTATAAATAGAGTTACTTTAGTTTAATTTAGGTTTCCTCCTGCAGTAACACTGGATCAATAAGAGATTATCCTTACTGAACCTCTAGCGATACTGACAGAGCTATACAGAATATAATCAGTTTAGTTTAGCTAAGTATTAGCATACAACAGATTTATGGTTATTCTAATGTATATTTTAGAAACAAAAACAACTTGTTGGTATGGTTGGAGATGGTGTGAACGACGGCCCAGCCCTGGCCGCATCGGATGTCGGGATAGCAATGGCTGCCGGGGGGTCTGCACTTGCTGTCGAAGCTGCCGGAGTCGCCTTGATGAACAACAGCGTCCTTAAAGTTCCCGAAATTATCTGCTTGAGTCGTTTTTGCCGTCGTATCATCCTTGAGAATATCATCCTCTCGGTTTTGTTAAAACTCGTGTTTGTTATCGTTGCTCTCACTGGGTTCGTGCGAGTGTGGATGGCAGTCCTGGCTGATCTGGTGGGTCTAGTCGCCGTCATTCTCAATGGTCTGCGCCCGCTCAAGTGGAAACCTCCACGAATAAAACAGAAAAGCGCCCCACCCCGTGCCTCGTTCAGACGCAAGCGACCTCTAGTCATGTTTGAATCGGTGGTATAATTCGTTGAAAATTGAAAAGGTAAAGGTTTCCTCTCGAAGTTACCATGAGAACGAGAGTTGCCTGAAATCTCAAGAAAAATAGAAGGCATTCCCAATGTTGAAAAGGATGACAATGGTATAATACTTATATTTTTTAATGAAGAAAGTATCGGGCAATATAATTGCCGTTTCTTTTTGAACCTCTTTTTGTGAGGTCTGATTTGAACATAATCGTAACACTAAGTATAACATATTTTTAAATACGTGTAGTACATATAACGAATACATAAATAATTCGCACTGCCAGGCTCCAAAACGCCTGGGGACGAGTAACGAGTGAAGAACAATTCAAGTTGTCTAATTGATATATCCACATATTTTTGGTATCACAATTTCTTGTGACCATAAAATGTTATCTCTGTACTTGAGGTTCGTCGCGTTTTTGCTGGATTGCAATCATTTTATTTTTTTCGCAATCTTTGTCAGATAAATGACAGGTTATACCCACAGAGCTCAACACTCCTTTACGGGTGACCTTAAATCGATAAAACTTCGGCCATGTTGATGTCAAATTCAGTGGTAGTTTAGGGATCGTCCATAATTATCAACTTTTTCACAAGTATACAGAGAGTACTCCTTTTCTCGACTTTTCCCAGAGCGTACTTGAATCTCAGGAACGATGTTTTGAAAGCGTCCCCCCCCCAGCGTCCCCAGCGTAAGGTTTGCTTGTGAAAGTGTCGATAACCATGGCTGACCTCTTGATGCGATTCATATTGTGAAAACATTTCGTCAACATGGCCGCCGTGACGTGTGGTCCAGCAATACGCTGTTAAGCCTGGTTAACTTTGTGTTATTTTGAATGTTAATAATTTTAAATGTAAATGTATTAAGGTGAAATAAATAGTATGTTTTATACTAGACACAATCGAATGACCTTGTTGTCTGGACGATTGTGTGCGAAGTATTTAAAAAGGCCTTGGTCAAACCGTGCTCGAACGAGGATGAGAGTTGATAAGAGTTTTCGCGCGGTAATATCCAGTCAACTGTCATCAACTCTCATGCAAACTCTTGTTTTCGTTTGACCGGGGCACGAGAGTTGAGAAAACTCTCACTTCTCCACTCTCATCAACTCTCATGCAACTCTTATTCTGGTTTGAATGGGGCACGAGAGTTGACAAAACTCTCATGCAAACTCTCAACTCTCATTCTCGTCTTAAAATATTACGACAGCCACGACCACACTTTATTGTAACTTGTTTTAGTTCGCATAAAATAAATATTTAGTGCATCAGTTTAATTACGTTCCATATGTCAAAACACAATTTGTATTCACCTTATTAGCATTTTAAACTTTGACGATAATTTTATCCAATCAGCTTCATTTCACACTGAAAAAACAGCTGGAGAGATCATTTGAGATAAACTTCAAAAGTCTATTGTCAACACAGACCAAAGCACAAAGCGAAACTTTTTATATGTGCCATCGTTTTCACACTGTAGTCGTGCAAATATTCTTGCAAAATACTAGCACGGTTTTGCAGATTTGACAAGGGAAATTGTTGCGTTTGAGAAAACGCCTGGAAACGTAGGCTGATCTAGTCTTTTGTCTTAATGCCCTCCCGATCATTCGGTCTTGTTCTTGTGATGGGCTCATTGTTCGACAAACTGCGAATGTACTTCGAAAAAATGAACCAAAGCGAAGGAGAAGACAGCAAGATTGGCGTAAAATCTCCAGGTATATACAATAAATTTCTCATTTTAGTATTTCGGGTATTTTAGCAAAGTTCATGAAACTGTGTGTAGGATATATTTCAAGACAATGAATAATTTATTCCATCTGACCAAACCACAAAAACAGTTGAAGACTTGTGTGTTTGACCTAGAATAATATTATTGTTCTTGGCCTTGCCTGCAGTTAAAAAGGACAAATCCTATATATAGTATTTGAAGAAGACTCTAAAAGAAACGAGAATTTTTAGCATTTGACATTATATATAGCTAGCTTACTCCCTCCAATAACTTTTTGTTACTGCATGAAATGGTTTAATCTTCTTGTATGGTTTTGTGGCGGCCATAGGCAAAATTTGGAATGAGGACAAATTAATTTGTGGTCGCAATAATGAGCCGCGAGACTTTGGCTATGTGCTCAACACTGGAACCGTAAGCCAGTGAGCTCTCTATATTTATCTGGAGCAAGAAATTCACTCATTCGGCCTATGAAAAAAATGGCGACCATTGACGTGCAATAAACAGTTTTAATACCATTTTTCCAGCTAATTCCAGGTTTTCTAACGGACCGTATAGTGTTATTCTTTAAATCGATGTCAAAATACGAAAATAGCTCTTCAATTTCCGCCATAATGCATTGGTTGGTCCAGATATATATGGAGCACACTGGGATGATTGGAGTGATTGTCCGGATGTAATGGCAGCAATGAGATTTCTAAGACAAAATGACATTGGAACATTGTGACTGGATGGCGTACATTGTTGATATAACTTGTGCGATGTTTTTGTAGAACGTAAAGAAACCGAACGAAAGAATCCTGTAGAAAAACCGCGTGAATGCAAAGCGAACGATGAAGCGCCTGCAACCAAAACTGCGAAGAGAAGAGCCCGTCCTAGTGTGGAAGAGATGAGAGAAGCGAAGGAGAAAATGAGCGGCCTTGAACAACAACTCGCGATACAGAAAACGATGATGGAAGAACATCAAGGGAAAATGGCCATGCTGGAACAATTGATCAAACGACAATGTTTGGTACTCAAAGAAAACGATGATCAGTGTAATTATGAGCAGCTGGCAAAGAGCGCTCCGGGTAAGTAGTTCATTGAGTTTGCCGGCATTTCCATTTCATTGTGTTGAGGAAGTCCATGTGATCAGTGAAATATAGGCTACGTTTACTATACCGCCTACCGGATAGCTTTCTGTAGCGGCGCGAAAAAGCACCTATCCGATACGGAATGTACAACTTTGAGAAGCTGAGCGAAATAACATCTCTCCGTTGCAATAATTCCTCTGAAAATAGCGTTCCTAAAAGGTACTGAATAGGTGGGTTTTTTCACGTCGCTACGGAAAGCTATCTGGCAGAGTGTAAACATAGCCTCTGTTTGTCGTTGTATGCAAATCAGTCAGTACAATGCATAACACTAGCTTAAACAATTGTGCATCCGGTCGCGATCCAGTGATCAGACAATTGTGACCAGAATTTCCATTGTCTTTCATTGTTTTGAAAATCCACACTGAGTCTTATCCACCCATCCCATCGCTCGTTGTTTTAACAAATTTTCGCCTTCTGTATGTTTGATTAAAGTCATTGTTCAAGGCGCGAAGTTGCCAGCAGATGTGGTCAACACACTTGTTGGAGAACTCAAATTAAATGGCAATATCTCATTTATTTGCCTCCATATATTTTCAAGACCACTTCTAACGAAAAGAATTGACATTAATTTCTCAGCCTGTAGGAAACCCGCTTATTTGACCTTATTTAATAAAGTTAAACTCACCGCTACTTTTGTGACGTCATTAAAGAAACATTGAGCACTGACAAAAATGCCAATAATATTCTCCACATGCCTCATTTACATACATATCTCTGTCGTAATAATATGCCGTTTCATCCCAGCTGAATTGCGGACTAATTAACGGCATTACTTATTGATGTAGAAGGTCTTGAACCACGTTAGATTACTATATCTATCCTCTGCTTCGAGTCACCCAAAAATCTTTGAACAGCGAGCTTCATATCTTGTTTACAGACACACAGACGTTTTGGGAACGGATTGAAAACCAGTTGAGTTCAATGATTGAGAAGAAAGGTTACGATAGCGGAGAAGAAACTTCGCTAACGAAAATAAAACATCAATTTGATGCACAACGCTTGCAGTTACAAGAACATGGGCAGTGCATTAAGAAACACGAAGAACAGTTTGAAGACCAGTTAGCAAGAATTGAAATCATGCGAGAAATATTAGATGAAAATTCAAGTAAGGATTGCCCGTGTAGTAGTTATATAAAATATTAATCGCGTTATATTGCCAGATTATATCGTAATATATTAGAGCACTCTTGCGCCTGAGATTCTCAAGGGTAATCCCTGATCATAAGAGGCAATAGTTCCGTTATAACTGGTGTTGCTTAGTAGCTAGTGATGTCAGTCAGACAACGCCGTATCCATCTCGTATAGACTGCGCATACAGACAGTAGTACCTATCCTATATTGTATATTATTCCTGCCTACTACCTTCCCGACAAAGCGCCTTCGCTCGAAACGTCGAAGTTCTCCTTGTATTTTTCAGGTAGTTGAATCCATATCTCTATATTATTCTTGACACACTGAAAGACAACCCCTCAAACATGAGAGACAATGTTTTATATTAAATATTCTTCTGTTAAAGCTAGTGTCAGTGAGATATATTATATTTCAAAGTTACAGACATACCGAATCTTTGCGCAGTATATGATGGATATTTATGGCCATCACAGATTGAGGTCTGTACTTATATAGTACTCACTCAAGGATAGTTCTTAAAACATAAGAGGCAATATTTTATAGTCCTTTAGCTTCATATAAGTACCTAGTGGGGGCATTATTGAGGGCTATATTTTATAAATGCGTCCGTTCTAAATAGCGGCTGGTCATGTACAGTATGATTCTAAAACCGAAAGCCGTATTCACACGTAAGTCATATAGATATTATTGGACGTCTTGTCCGTAAAAAGTACACGTTTTGTATTAGTGTCAGTATCGTTTGTGTTCGTTTCATTTTTCCGTGACCGAGAATTTTCCAGTGCCAAGTAATTTTAGATAGCGACGTTGAAAGGTACTATCACTCCATAACACTTTACTATATATTGTCTAAGAAAGATGAAATAATAAAGTTTATGACCTCACACACCAAATATGCAGTATTTTTTTATATTTGATATTCCAAACTACAGCACTCGTCACAAATGAAAAGTAAAAATATTCTCGACAAGAGACGTCATCGTTCTAGACCACCAACAGCTTTGTACACCCTTGGCCTTGTCAATTATAATCAAACTTTATTTCTGTTCTCTTGCTATTTTCCGATCTTTAAATCATCAAATTAAGTTCGTGTCAATATCAGTAACCTCTAAAATTACTCAACTATGTCATGAACATTTATAACGAGTGATATTCAATCTGACACTCAAGTCTTATTAATTATTTATCTTTTCATTATATACCAAAATTACAAGACGTTTAACGTGTTTAAAAACGTAGTTTATAAATTTAAAAGCACATAATAACATATAAATACGGTTAACAGTCTCGCGAAAATGCAGTTTGTCTCCACGTCCATAATTTTTTGAAAGTATATTCGCCTAACCAAAGAACAGACTGTGCAGAAATATAATTAAGTTTCGCCAGGGGATTTTCCAAGGAGGAGGTAAAAAATGTCTTTAATTGAGTTTTTTCCATGTTTGTTTGAAACACTCTTGACCTCAGATACGTCAGCAAACACCAGGGAGCGTTCAATACTGTTTAATTAAAGAAAGCCAAAGAAAACACACACAAGAATAATAGAACAACGCATATTTACAGTATATCAACAATACTAAGCTTAAAAGACTTCCTTTTGTTGTTTAAGAAATGAAGCAGCCGGATATCTCCAGAAATATACAAAAACACCAGGAAAAAATACTTAACCCTTAATTAATGTGCCGTCGACGTCTCTGTCTGGACTACTTGAAAAGTCTTTTCCAAAATATACGGCGGCTTCTTGTAGGAACTGCCTATACTAGACCGCAAAGTTTGAGAGCCAGATGTAAACTACATCAGTATACATGTTGACGTCTGTCTTCACTACTTCAGTAAGATGGTGATCAACTTTGGAAATATTGTCAAGAAATTAAACTACATCGCACAATTTAATTTAGTGTTATTTTCTCACACTGACAACTGCAGGTTAACCAGCATCTGTTGCACGATAGTGCTGAACTGAAACTATTTATAAATCATGCATTCCGTTTGTTTAGATCAAGTAGGATCAGAGAACAGCGTTCGACTGATTTTGGAAGATCACGAGAAAAGACTGAGTGCTTTAGAAGACCGTATGGCAGTCTACGAGAAACAAGTAGAACGACGTCTGGCCGAACAACATCAATTGTTGATATTTACGTGGCTTGGTCTCATTACAACGTTTGTCTTGTGTTTTGCAATTGTTTGTTCATGTTGTTGGTATCGATAAAATACGCGAGTGAGCGATGTATCTATAAGGAATATCGTGCAGCAGATATAGTGTTCTACCTAGCTATCAGAATGAGAAAATAATGTTAGAGGCAAACATAATTGATAGTGTTGTAGTCACCATCTGCAATGCTGTTGATAAATATTGGGGATGGAGTTTACAATAATATAATCTGATATAATATAGTTATAATATAATATTCTAAACGTAAAGCAAAATCTATCTATCATAAATCAAATAAAATTTACATTTTTGTAAAAAACCTGTAAAAACACTGAATCGGATGTTTTAACAACAATGCATTGCAAAGTTGAAAATGGCGTCATCTTTTGTAAAAAGATCTATTATTGAAATTTTTCACTTTTTGATATAAAACTTTGGGGCAGCTGTGGCTTGTTGTTGCTAAGCAACGACGCAAAACTAACATGGTGGCCTGAAAACACAATATTTTGCTGAATTTGAGCGGTTTTGAATCGCGTTTGTTTGCAAAATGAGCTTCGATATTGCTAGTGGACTGTACGAAAATAAACCAAGGAGAAAGAAAACTCAACGTAAATATATTTATGACAGACAACGGGAGGAAGAAACGATCAGAAATGCCATGAATCGTGGTTACTTGCGGCGAATGACCGTTGAATTTTTGAACGATAATGTAGGCTTAGATGATTGTGATTTGCCGGTTGTTGGGTATTTAAATGTGACCTCGCAGCAGCTCAGTTCTCTGGGCGCATTAGAGATGTGTGTTAGTCTAAGAATATGTATTTTACCTGGGAATTATATCACTGAATTTGACGCTTTAGCAGGCTGTGTCAATCTGTGGGCCTTAGATCTGCATGGAAATCAGGTATGGGTTCTGTTTAGTGTTGTGGGAAGGCTTGAGGGAGAGTTCCAATCCTTGAATTACTGAATTTGATGTCTATTGGTAAAAGGGCCTATTGGTAGACTTTCTGGAAAAATAAACTTGATCCAGGTGGATTTTTGGTGTTTTTTATTTGATCTTTGGTGTTATTTGAATGATACATGAAAAATGTTTTACTATTATTTCTCTCTCCTCAGGACAACAGAAACCTCCTTCCTAGGAGGGCAAGAGGAGGGGGAGGGTTGAATTTTTTTGAATGCTTTAGATTGATAGGGATACAACTACCTGAAAAGTACAAGGAGAACTTCGACATTTTTCAGCGAAGGCCCTTGGTCGAGAAGTTAGTAACCTGATTAAGTGCCTTTGCAAACATCAAAATTCTCCTTGTATTTGTCAGGCAGTTGAATTCCTTTCAGTCCGAAGCTTTCTTATTATTGCCACTACCAACACTGACACAGAGCGTGTTCAAGAAATCAACCAAGCCAATGCTGGCTACTTGCTATAGAGTATCACATATTCTATGTGTACAAATCTTTCAGATCAAAAAGGTGCCAGGACACACATTTTGGAGTGCTTTAAACCAACTTCAGATTGCGCTGCTTCATGACAATGGTATTTCAAAACTTGAGACGATCCACCACCTAAGTTCCTCGCCCTCCCTTGTTCTCCTCACGTTGTACGACACCCCCCTGAGTTTAAAGAAAAACTATCGGCATCATGTTGTCAATGGCGTGTGGTCATTGAAAGCACTGGACTGCCATGTTGTCTCGGACGAGGAAATTATCGAGGATTCTAAGATGCCTGGGCAATTTGCGGCACTGAACAAGAATTTTAAAGTTGATCTGACTCACACTTTGACAAAGGTAGATTTTTAACTATCATTCACAAAATAAGCAATACAAGTATTTTGTTATATGGCAAGGCAATCCATCTGCAAAATGCAGCATTTTGATTCGTCCCCTCAAGGCATATTTTAACATACATACTGGGGGGGGCATTTGGCCCTGCGTGTGCCACTAGTTAGTGGCTCAGACTGGGCCCTAACTTTACCCTAAGTGACCTAAATTGTACTCAGGGGAGCCCACACTGGGCCCTAATCTTGGTTTTGCCCCCCCCTCCCCCCCCACTGTAAAACATTTAAAATATGCACTGGATGCCCTCGTCTCATTTTGTGACAGGAATCTTCGTTGGAAGAAGCTGTCAAACAAATAGAAAAGTTAAAAGGAAAGGTGAACAGGATTCAAGCGAAATACTGTCCAGTTCTGTTGATCCAAAAGACTTTTAGAATGTTCGCCATTCGGAAGAGATACAAGTACCTCTTGGCTACGAGAGTTTGGTAAGTTAGTGAAGACTAGTTTATTATCAGCGTGAAAGATCATAGCCTATCTAAGGGAAGATGACTATGAAACTTATTAGAATAACAATATTAACTCATTATCTATGTTAGTCAACGTTTATTCATAAATCTGGTCCTTCGCCATCACGCGTGTATCGTATTTTTGCCCAACTAACCAATAACAATGTTTTAGGAAAGTCACCTATCCGTAACTCGAACAATAGGGAAATTGGAAATTGCTTTTGGTGGATTTGGCAAAAATACAATACACACGTGACGGTGAAGGACCAGATTTATGAATAAACGTTGACCAACACAGATAATGAGTTATATTGATATTCTAATGAGTTTCACAGCCATCTAGTTATCACAAGTTCGCTTCATCAATTTTCGTTCTCTAATTTCAAGTATCTTTTATTTCATAGGGCGGCGACGTCGATTCAAAGATTCTACCGTTTTCACAAAGGCATAACGCAATCGCTAGAAGAAGTGATACCACCGCCAACGTCACCGTTCATTCCCCCCGACTGCAATGCTAACTTGAGTTCCTATGACAGTCATACACACGGAGAATCTGAAGACGATTCCGGGGGGATGGAGCAGTACGACAGTAATTCCTCACGCAGAACTAGAGAGAGCAGTGTATATGTACCTGGCATGAATTACATTTCCGTCGGAAACGTTGGGAGTCTACATGAAGGGGGGTCGTCGGGCTCGGCAGGACAGAGTAAGACTCCGACAGATTTGAGCAAGATTTCTACAGATTTGAGTAAGGCTACAGACAGGAGTAAGATTTCTACAGACACAGTTGTACGGAGTAAAGGAGAATTGGGTGATCTTAACTATAGGTCCCGGAGTAACCTAAACGTTGGCGAAGCAAACTCGCGCGAACAAAGTTTCGAAAGACAGAAGAAAGTGACACGACGGATGACCATTGACTTGGTTAAACTGGAGTCCTCCGCTGTTGGTACCATTGAAAGCGCTACCTGTGAGGTCACCGTCGATAGTGCACTGGGACTAGGTAGGTAGAGTTTCCTCCACTTATTTCTTCTGGGTGGTTATGAAAGAGCTCAAAACTGATACAAACACAGTCTTTAATCCAGTCACCCTCGGCAGATAATGGACGTGTACAAGAATATAAAACGAACATCAGAAAGACAATGTTTCCTGGTTTATCCACCTTCAGGACACATGGCTAGAAAACAATGTTCTGGTCTGTCCACCTTCGGGAAACGTTAGGAAACAATGTTTCCTAGTTTTTCCACCTTTGGGAACCATGGCTGGGAAAAAAGTTTCCTGATTTGTCTACTTTCAAGACACATGGCTAGGAAACAATGTTTCTTGGCTTTTCCACCTCCAGGAAACATGGCTAGGAAACAATGTTTTCTGGTTTATCCACCTTTAGGAAACATGGTTGGGAAACAATTTTTCCTGGTTTTTCAAGGCTTGAGCTATACGTTCAATAATATTTATATATATAATATCTTTTTAGATAAGAAATCAAAATCGCCAAAAGACTCGAAAAGTAAGATTAACGTGAATATAAACGAGGAAGACATGATTTTGGTTGAGCAAAGAAAAAGAGAAAGTAGCGAGCACGATGACGCACTGTATAAACGTCGTTTAAAGCCGGAAATGGTCGGAAAGTACAGGACGGTTCGAGTATTCCTTGGAGACGTTGTTGAACCCAAAACGAAACGGGAGGTCGTCACGAACAGTGACGAGGATGAAGCGATTGGTTTCCGGCTACAAGGCGAAGAGCCACCGAAGCAAAAGAACGAACCAATTGCCGAGATGTTACTTTCGAAAAAGGAGATGGGCGAGGACGTACGAAGATCACTTCGGCAGTTCCGTCGGAAACAACCGGACAAACGCAAGGTGTCGGGTGGAGGTACGAAACTGACCAATGATCAGAAGTTGTTTTTACGCACGCATGGTACCATGGGATTGGCGTGTCTCCGAGCCGTGCATCAAGCTTACGGGAACCGGGCTCGAGCTCAGAAGCAAACTGCGTTGAATGATAGAGTGTCTGGGATGAAGGAATGTCGAGAGTTGGGGATTGAGAGACTGCAGGTGAATTTAATTTTAATTTAATAGCTTAGTCCCTGTACAAATATCAACTATCAGTACTTGGCAGGGAATCCACAACAGCGCAAGCCAATTACTGCGGCCCCTTTAACAACAAACATAATGATAATATAGGAACAAGTTGTTTCCTTGTCCTCAGAGGCAAGTTGTAAGATACTATTTCGACACTAAACCAACTTTTAAACTCCTAAAATAACGTTCAAACTTTAGAAAGCTTCGATTTGATACGGATACAACTACCTGAAAAATACAAGGAGAACTTTTCGAACGAACTGTCAACTTCTCCTCTGGGAGGAAACCGGAGCACCCGGAGAAAACCCACAACTTTCGGCAGAGCGTTGAGAGACTCTTTTCACATGAGTCCGTATAATTCTCACACTTATAAGTATCGAAATTTCTGACGTTGACTACACACTGTGCTACCAATGCTTACTGAATCTTTACTTTTCCACAGAGTATGAAACAAGAATATCAGGAGAACATCCTACGAGAACGTATTCGAGATGGCGTGAGAATCGCAGACACGTTGCGTGAGAACGAAGTGAAGCAAAACGAAGAGCGTCGGAAGGTTTCGGAACGCCGAACGGCAGCGATGGTCGAAGATCGCATACGTCAGTCTCATTTGGCATTCGCGCGCGACTTTGCCTGTCAACAGAACTCCGTGTCACAGGCGTTACGAAATCACGACCGCGCCGAGGCGAAAAAAGAAAAACAGAAAAAGATGGCGGAAGCGGTACGGGTTGAGAGGGAGAGTAATTTGGAGAAACAGGCGTTAGTTAAGAAATATATGGAACATCGGAGGTTGATGAGTCAAGCAGAAGTAAGCTTTCATTCTATAAACCATATTGTAGCCTGCTCGCAGCCTGTTTCGAAATTCAGCAATTTCGACATGTCCCGCTTTCGAAATTTCGGACCAAGAGCAGGCTAACCTTAGTGTACCGATAAGGATGAGTAGTGCAATGATGTGGATACAGTTACCTGGAAAATACAAGGAGAACTTCGACGTTTTGAACGAGGGAGCCTACTAAACCCCGACGAAGGGCCTTCGCTCAAAACGTCGAAATTCTCCTTGTATTTTTCAGGGAGTTGTATCCCTATCAATCCTAGCCTCCTCCGCAGGCAACTCTTGAAACACCATAAATAAATTCAGTTGGGAGATACTTGAGGGATACGGAAAAAATTGGGGAAGGCTCCTCGCCTCGCCTTTTCTCCAATTTTCCTTCTTTATCCCTCAACTATCCCTTAACTATCAAATCAACTATCCCTCATTACACACAGTGGCGAAGCCAGCCCAACCATTGGTCATGCTCTGCAAATATTTCCGTGTTCATAGACCGTGAAAACAATCAATTTCTAAAGAAATGAATAATGATGATGTTTGCTGCTGAAAAGTTTGCTTGGCCACGGTGGGAATCGAACCCGCGACCTTTGGGATACTAGTCTACGAATAATGATATTTAAAATTTGCATAGCATGACCAACTTGTCGGGCTGGCTTCGCCACTGCTTACACCAGCACAGACTGCTACTGTGGGTCGAGGCTAGGAGGGATTTACATAGGTTGGGTAATGTTGCGCATGTACGATGCACCTGAACGTATTAATGTACAATATTTTCACATTGATGTTTCAGATGTCCAAAGCCAGAGCCGAAATCAACACTAGATTACTGGACGAAGCAAACAAACAATTTATGGAGTTTGAGGCGAGCATGAAGCGTGCCAAAACGAGGCAATCTAAAGCCGCCGAGTTTTGTCCTCTACCTCCATTGAATGCACCCAACCTGGACACTCCCTTGGCTGTTCTTAGCCCTGCCATGGTTAACCAATGGGAAGAATGCTTACAGCGGGATGGCCGACATTTTGATGACGTGTTTTCTATAAGCAGTTCTGAGAATGTTTGCTAAAATTTTGAAATGTAATAAATTAATAGGCGTACACTGTAGTGTTTATTGTCGTTTACATCCACGAATGAACAGTCAAAGATAAAAAGCATTGTCTATTTGCACCCAATATTTACAAAATTGTTAATAGTTGTTGACTTGCAGGACGATAAAAGTTGGTGGAACAACTTGTAACACGTCTGTTGTCAAGTTGTTGGAACAGCATTGCTACAATCTTCTGCAGGTTTGTTACAACTTGTGCGTTTTTACCTGTGTACAAACGCGAAAGTTTCACGTGATCATAGACAATGTTTTTTATCTGCAACTGTTCAAGCATGGATGAAGAAGACAGTGGTTTTTACTGTCTAATTATTTAAAGTGGGTCTTATAAAATTTCGTTTGAATGTCTTCTTTTTATTAATGGCAAAATGATATATCCATAGGATCATTGCATCAAAGAAAAAGTAAACATTAAAGGTTCATTTCACATACAGTAATTCAAGTTCTATTTAAACTCTCGCGATACTCTTTAGCGTTAAGAATTGCTTCCTTAAACAGTCTACAATAAAGTTCCATGGCTGATGGTGTGTCATCATTTCCTGGAATCGGATATGTAATCAGCCTTGGATCACAATCACTGTCGACCACACCCACGCTGGGAATGTTACATTGTGCTGCCTCCTTGACGGGCGGGGCACCTCGGCCAAACATGGTCAGGTTCGTCAATACGACCAGGTCTGGTAAGCGAGTGGTGTCGAGTAGTATGTTAGAGTTTGTAAATGTTCCTATGTTCCATTGTCTTGTTACAAAATATTCACCAGCATCTCGAGCTGTTTGCTGTACTAGTTCTTCAAACTGTGGATGGGTGCTCACAAATAGGATCACTCCACGACGGTAAGCAACATGTGACATGATGTTAAGAGCAAGCTATATATGAGAAACAGATATTTAGTTACAAAGTAATGAATAAATAATGCTTTTATTATCTACTTACAATTAATATTAACCTACTGAGCTACAATGAGCACCAGTGCGCCCTACTTATTTTTTTACTTGTCAAACGCCAGATGATTTTACTTGTCAACGGGGGAAGCTCTGTGGGTTAATAACCTGAGACATCAGTGCCGTAGGTAGCTTTAAGAGGGGGAGGGGTTAAAATCCCCCTGAAAGTTTGAAAAAAATAGTGTGTCCCCAGTTTGCTGAAAACTAACCCGCAAAATGCTCTTACTAATATTCTGTCCACACTTTGAAACAAAATATACTGGTGACTACTCTGTTAGCTTATTATTACATTATGAAAATTATGGGGGGAGGGGGCTGCCATCCCCCCAGTCGCTACGACCATGGACATAATACTGTACCTTAAGGTGTGTTGCAGTTTTATCGAGGTCTATAATATGAAATCTCTCTCGTGATCCATAGAGATAAGGCTTCATAAATGGATTCCAACATCCCTCGTGATGGCCAAGGTGGATGTTGGCATTTAGAAGATCTCGCACAGAAAACAACTTTGAAACTTGGAAGAAATCAGGCTCTTGTAGGGGATCATTTTGATGTCCTAAAAGTATTGAAGACGAAATTAACTTTATTCTTAAATATTAAACATCGTTAGAGGATAAGTAATAGCAAATGAAATATTGTTCATGTGTAGATGCAATCTGTGAATAAGAAATGTGGAGGTTTCAATTACATCATTGAAACTGTTCATGTGTAGATGCAATCAACACCCCCACTCAGCTCCCTTTTACTAGAACATGAATGAAACTTGACAAACCTTCATTTTGGTTGTCTTTCAATAGCCTGGTTTGCCCCACACCCGCAAACCCTCTCAACCTTTGAATATTAAGGTGTGGGGGTACCCCTCTCACCAACCTTGCTCTACCGGACCAAATTTGACATTTGCAGAACCCTAAAGCAAGGAAACAACTTTAAATCATCTCATATTTTAACGCATTCACAAAATACGACAGATTCTACAATCCTAGGTGATAAAAAAATAAAAAAATGGTCGAAACTTACTAAAAATGCTTGATTTTAAAATTTCCATTTTGCTAGGCGCTAGATGATATCAGCTCTGCTGCGAGACACCGCTGCCGGAGTAATATATTGGCTCAGTTTTTGAAGCAGCTTGTCAGTTTTGATCGATTCTGCTGGAAAAATATTCATTTCTTTTCTAAATTTCTCTTTATTTTTGAGTGAAATTCTTGAAACAAGGCCAAAAGCTGTCTGCCGAAGAAGAAAAGAAGACTCTTGTACCTTTAATATGGGAATTTTGGGCCGGAATTTGTCATAATTCATGTGAGTATTCGAGTATTTGCTTGCAAGTGTTTTTAGATGATGTTCAATGATAAACAATATTTAAGACAATGTAGTTCCAATATTGTTTTAAAGCTTTGCCTTTACTATACGTACTTGGCAAAGAATCGTACTTAAATTAACGTACAAATCAACGAATTTGTGTTTAGTTTTGAGTAAACAAAATTACAAAAAACACGTGACGTTTTATCTTCCTTGTATTTGAAAAGATGTATATATAGAAAATAAGTTTTGTAATATATAAATATATATATGAAATTAATAACATATATTATATTAAAAAGAAATTGCTATACTATGTATTGATATATAAAATATATGATATATTAAAAATATAATATATAATAATCTATTCTTTAGAATATGTAATTATAACATATATATTGAAAGTATAGAGTATATATTAATAACATACATATTGAAAATAAGTTAGTATATGAATAGAATATATAGTCTATTACTATAAAACTTCCCAATGTTTGCTTGAGTTTACATCTGATTGTGTGTTTAGAAAATCCTACCCCCACCCCACCCCCCTTTGACAGGAGTTTTGGAAAATATACAACACAAAGAGTTGTTTTTTACCCCATATTTTTTTCTTGTATGCTTATGTGCGAGCTATATAAGAAAGTGAATTGTGTTACATTTGATGGAAACAAAATATTTCAAGCTTTTATATGATTTGTAATTTTTATTTCATACCAGTTGCCTTGACAATGACCTGGTATAATTGTTAACAATGAGTGATTCAGAAGATACAAGCCTTCAAAATGAGGCAAGTTCAACACCCCAACATGCACCTCCAGCACTAGAAATCCCCCTTTTAAAACGCGAGCTGTCCACCCCTGAAGTGAAGAGTAATGACTCCATTGCAAGCGAGGCTCCGTCAAAAGATCCTGAATTTGAAATGCTAAATCCTGTTGATTTTGATGACGGGGAATCTGCACCATTGACAAAATCTGGAGCTAGTAGCCTTGGCAGCTTTACTGAGGTGGAGTCCCTTCCTCAATCCCCGGGGGTTGAAATGACAATGGAACATTCAGACATGAAAAAACTGCTTCACGAGGCTGGTCGAGAGAGCGGGGAAAGCTCGAATGAAACAGAGGAACACATTCCTCCTCCTCCTGAAGATGACAATGAAAGTGACAGACAAGGTGGAAGATTGGAGAATGCTTTAGATTGTGTTGAGACAGTTTTGGGAAACAAAGATGTTTCATTGAATAACGAGAAATGTAAGAACGATGTTTTATCTGAAACTGGAACAAAATTGAGTAAACCTGACACAGGGTTTGGTGCGACAAAAGATAGACCAGAAAATGATTTGGGTGTTTCTGGTGGAGAGTCTGAAAAACTTGAGCAAAGTGAGCCAGGTTTGAGATCAGAGCATGATTTGGACACATCTGATAGAAAACCAGAAGGAAAAGTTGACAATAATACTTTATCAGACTTTTCAAAAGTATCAGAAGACAATGATGTGACATTATTCAGCAGTATTACATATCTTGGTTCCTCTACTGTCAATGCGCCCGTGAGTGACACTGAACTGAAACGTACAATGGCTCTCCTCAAGCAACAAAGCAGAGTTGCAATTGATATTGTTTTATCTGTGAGTGCATCATTCAGTGGAGCCATTAAACTTCTTGATCCTCAGAGTAGAATGGTAATTGCAACATATGAACTACAGAAGACCCTGTTCTGTGGTCGTGGTGATGACGGTGGTGGCGAGGAAGATTGCTTTGCATTCAATACTTGTCATGGCAGTGCTGATGTTTTTCATTGTCATGTATTTCGCTGTCTTGAAAATGGTGCGGTGAGTGTCTACTGTACAGTGGAATTTGCTCTGTTGTGTGTTTTGTCATAGTGGTAGTAAATTCCTGGGCCAGTTGTATAAAACTCTTAACTTTTTAAACACTATTTCGTAGTTAAATTAACTACAGTTAGCGCGAAAGTTTTAGAGTTAACTTGACTCTAAAATACACAATTTTGATTGGTTGACTTTCCCGCTAACTGTAGTTAACTTTAACTACTGTAAATTTTTATACAACTGGCCCCAGTAATATCCAGTTGTCTGACTATAATTTTGCCTCAGTTTTATGAACAAGTAAAATCGTCTGGTGTTAGACAGAGTAAAATAATAAAGTAGGGCACATCAGGGTGCAATGCGACTTAATGGGTTAAAAACACTGTAGGTTTTGTCAGTGTACTTCAATTTCCTCTTCTAGGAACACTGGTAATCCTGTTTTAAATGTTGTATACAAATTTCATTTTAGGCAGCAAAAATTTTGACAAGATTTGCACAATCATTTAGAAATAGACTAAAGGTAGGGATTCATCTTGCATGAATACTGCAAGTGCAGATGGATCATTACTAAACCAGCTATTGAGTGGACTATAGGCTGCTTCATACTATCAAAGATTCTGTGATCACAGTAGGAATTTTGCATCGGTAAATTCTTCTCTTTTGAAGAATTTGTAAGAGATGTTTGAGAGAACTGGCTCCTTGATTAATAGCGAGTCAGTTTCCTCAAACATTTCTTGCAAATCCTTCAGAACTTAAAATTTACCTATGCAAACTTCCTACTGTGATCACAGAAACTTTGAAAGTGTAAACTACCGGGCTTTAGATTCATGACGACAATATAAACATTCAATTTTCTTTCCACAGTCACGAGCAGATTCGGGTCTCGTCTACAAATTTGATCTTGTGTTTGACATATTGGAAGATGATGGGAAAGGGTCATTTGCTTCCGTTCCTCGAGACAAAACGTGCTTCAAAATAAGACGCGATGTTCACAAACAGATCAATATACAGCTACATCAACTGTCAAATAGATTGCTTATTTTAGAAAGGTTAGGAAACGTTCTTATTAAGGATTTTCTAAGTCCTACAAAGTCCTAAACTAACTTATGCGTGATAGCTTTATCATTTCCCTAGACGTTCAGCTGGGATCATCTCTTATTGATCCAGTGTTACAGGAGGAAACCTAAACTAAACTTTATTTATACTGGATAGCTCTATCAGTTCTAAACTGTTCTTCCTAGAGGTCCAGTAAGGATCATCTCTTATTGATCTAGTGTTTAACTACAGGAGGAAACGTAAACGTAAACTTTATTTATACTGGATAGCGTTATCAGTTCTAAACTGTTCTCCCCAGAGGTCCAGTAAGGATCACCTCATAATGCCAAGAGGCACAAGGTAGATATAACCAAAAAGTAATGATTTTTCAGATGTTTTGGTCTCTTGATTTGCCCTGGGCGCAATGTAACACACTCTGATATGAATTTACTGGACAAGGTATGTAGTCACGTTGAAAAAAGATCAACATTTAAAAAATATATATAATTACGATTGCAATTCTGCTGGTCACGTGTTTAGGTAACAATGGAGAATGCAGACAGCGGGCGGACATACGTCATCACGGGAAACTGGGACCCAGAGCGAGAGGATACATTGGTTTTAAATACTGAAACTAAGAAAGGTGATTGCGTTTGTTTTTACATGATTACAAGAAACGATTGTCGTAAGCTGATCACCAACCTCATTCCCAGGCCCTCTTGTGGATGTTGGCTGACCACTTGCGTCATTTTTAGAAACGTTGAATTTTTCTATCAATGGGTGTCAGTAAGCGTTAGATCAATATAATATCACTTGCCTTTTCTCACTCTGAGAAAATTGTGTTCATTCTTTAAAATAGTGTTCATTCAGAGCTTGGTGAAACGCACTGATATATTTTTTAAACTCCCGTCAAAAAGTTTGAAACTTAGAAAAAGTTGTATGTAACTCTAGCCTGACGTTCTTCTCCAGATTTCGTAGTGTACATGACAGTGGCCGTTGACTTCGTGGTGTCAGGTATTAGTGAACCAGTGCGTTTCATTAAAGAACTCGGAGTCAAAGTTTATCCTTCCAATGAAAGATTCTGGAACCCCAGTCGTCCAAAGATCAAGGAACAATACACACTTGAACTGAAATTGGTACGTTAAATACTGTAGGTTTAGAGGAAAGCTGAAAGACTTTGAAAGGATTTATTTCTAGCATCAATTATCCAATTTCCCAAAGTTCTGGGTCTAATCGCGCAAATCCCATGTTGGAGGGAGAAGAGGAAATGTTATCCTTATAGTAAAAAATCCCATCTTGATCAACTTTTTCACTGTCAAAAATTTAGGTTTCCTTTGTTTTTTGTATCAAAAATTTACCTAATGACGTCATATCTGGAACTTTGAGAGTGAAAAAGTTGATCAAGATGAGGTTTTTTACTGTAAAGATACATTACATTTCATCTTCGAATGATCCAAATATTACACATACCAAAAATTATATTTGGGGTTAGTCGCACTTTAACCTGGTTTGCTCTTCCAGTGCGTGCGACCATTATGGAGAACAGCTTTAAATATCTAAGAAGGATCTTTTGTCTGATACAACATTGACTGTTTTACCAGGCACAAGACGAAAAAGAGAATGAGAAATCCTACGAAGTTTTAAGTCTTCAATATTCCACTCAGCACGAATTTAAAGAAATACTAACTTCCCAGACTGATAGAATTGACGGTAGGTTAAGACAATGTTCCACGATTCAGAAAATATTGGGGGGGGGGGGGGGGCG